GGGGGGGGGGGAGGTAGGGGAGGCTGGGAATGGGGCGCTACCTGGCTGGCCATGACTTGCCTTGGACATAAGAGATCATGAGGTCTGATAACATCAGGTCCTTTGACAAGAGAGGTCAGACCCAGAGGCCACGGGCATAGCTGGCAAAGATATTGACCAAATGGGTTGACCTAAGAATGACACCCAAGAGGCTGGGCCTTGCCTGGAGAGACTAGTTCTGTGTGGCAACCCAGAGCAGATGATGCCAGAGGGTGAAATAAAGTTATACAGGTAGAGAGCCAAGGCTAGGAATGAGACTGGAGGCCAAAGATGGGGTATGGGGGGCTCCTGAGCCATGTAAGGACATGACCCAGCCACAGCCACCTGCAGGGCGCCATTTGCTCTAAGAGCCAGGAGCTAGATGAGAGAGAACAGGGCCAAAAATCCACCAAAAGTCCACTGTGGGTGGTTTAGGACAGGGCACAAGTGTTTTCTTTCCTGGGGTGATGCGACCCTGAAGGAACCCCGTTTATCACCAGAGGCATCGCCTCAGGGCTCGGTACTTCATTCATTAAACAAGAACATTCAAATGCCCAAGGAAGGGGTTCGCTGTTTGTGTCAGCACTTGCTGCGCAAGCTCCGAGGGATGAGAGGCCTGGGAATGGGCCACGAGAGCATCCTGGAGATGTGGCTCTGGAGAGTTGAAAGAACAGTAAGATGGATTGTTCTAGAAGGTGGGGGAAGTGGCATAACTAGAGAGAGGAAGGCCTGGAGAGCCACGCTTGTGCGTGTCACATCCAGGCAGATCCATGGCTAAAGCAAGAGGAGAGGTGCCCACAGGGGATGAGGGCCTCGTGCCCCACAGAGCAGAGGGTGTTCACAGAGGGAAAGGAGGGTCTAGTGTCCCTCATGCTGAAGGGACCCACAGGTAGTGTTCTGTCCTAACGTCCCCCATGCTGAAGGTGTTCATAGAGGATATCAGGGGCCAGTGTCCGACATGCTGCAGGGAGGTGGCAGTGTTCCAGGAAACAAGATTGTTGGCACATGTAAGAAAAAGAGAGACACAGTAGGCACCCGGCTCAGCTCTGCAGACGTAGCAAAGGCCAGTGGCCCAAGCAGTCCCGGTGAGCTATGTCGCCTCACACACCTCATGCCTTCATCGTGAGGCTGCTCCTGAAAAAATGCTGCCTGGGACACGCAGAGCACCCGTAAAGGATCCACAGCAACCGCGCCTCGACCCCCTGCGGACGGCACCCATGTCAGGGTCTCCTCAAACCCAGCGGGGTCCAGATTCCCACTCACTGTTTGCAGGACAGGCAGGTGGGACAGACACTTGGAAAAACAGGTCCCTTCCTATTTGCTGCGCAGTCTTCACACCATTCCAGGAACTGACTTGACAAATATTGACCAGGCTGCTGTGATCTGCAAACGCCACTCTCCTGCGGGTTGGAGGTGGTGCAGTGCTGCAGGCCCAGCGCCCCAGCCGGGCTCCTCGCTGTGAGTACTGAGCTTGCTCCCCTAACACCAGGAACGAGGGCCAGGGTGCTGTGCGCTCTCTCTGTGTCCCCCCCCTTCTCTCCCGCTCTCTCTCTCTCTGGCTTTGGCAGCAGGGATGGGAGAACCGAGTGCCCCTAAAGGAAGAAATGCCACGATGTATTGCTCCCAAGGCTTGAAGTAAGACCCTCAGGTTTAAAATAGCCTTCTATGAAAAACTTGGTCTTCAAAAATTTTGAGAGAGGCGCTCCCAGGATTCCTAGCAGGTCAACAAGAAAATAGAACAACCCAAAATGACAACCTTGTTGCAGCAAATGTACTAGAAACTCTGTTGTTTGAAAAGGGTCATTCTGCAGAGCCCTGGTCTGGGCTCTGAATCATGCTCCCCCCGCTCAGCAGGTGCTGGGTTGACCTGAGCCTCGGTTTCTCCACTCGTACAGCAGGGGTAATAACACCTGTGCCTTAAGGTTCTCGTATGGATTTAATTAAATGGCGTGAAGCAAGTATTTCTCAACAGGTGGCATTTGGGCAGGACCATTCTTCATCACATAGGACTGTCCTGGCGTTTCCTGAGCTTTCTCTCTCCCGGTAGACTCATCTTTGAGATGATCCCCCTCTTCACACTCAGCCCTTTCCCTGCATTTCAGAGCATCTCTGGTTGGGGACCGGGGCTCAATATATCTAATATCCCCACCACAAATAAACCGTGCATGGGAACATTATAATTAATTGAGTTCTTAATTTGCCTCTGGGACCTTTCTGGAAAAGGAAGGAAGCGATAAATTGGATAGACTCACACAGCCTCAGTAGGAAGGGGGGAGATGTAACATTGCATACGCTCCCCGGGCCAGGGGCCTCAGACACTGTCAGTCCTGTCATCCTTAAGTGACGCCCCCAGGAGGCAGGAATTACCATTTGCCTTTTGCGCAGGGGGACACAGCTGTCCAGAGGGGTTCCTTGGCACAGGATTGCCCAGTGAGTGCCTTCGGAGCCTGGGTTCAAACCCAGGCCCCCGACGTGCAGGTTGGTCCTCTGTGGGGACTAGACTCCCAGCGAGTCTGGGAGGCTTGGCGTGCAGGTGGCAGAAAATGGTAGTGAACTCAAAGGGGCGGAAAGAATAAGCCCAAAATAGTTTCATCGCGGTTGTATTATATTTCCCCCCAGGGCAGACCAGGTTTTAAACAGTTCTGCTTCTTTCATGTCCCTGCTCAAAAGAAACCCCGCGGTGAAGGGAAAGGGTGGCTGAGGGAGGCCTTGGGGAGCTGCCCTCGGTACTTTGACCAGCACTCGCATTTCAACATCACTGATAAAGAGGCCGCTTGCGTCCCTCCGGACACCTGGCCTCTGGGGTTGGCCGGGGCATGTAGGGCACCAGGCACGACAAGCCATCTGCAGAAATATGGTCTGTCCCACCCCACTGTGCAGTCTGTAATCGATCCAGAGGCCGCAGGTCTGGGAAATGGTATTCAAGGTGCTGATTAAGACATGAACGTTATCAGGACACATGGGCAAGGATCAGGTGGTCAGCGGTGAACAGCCACCGTGGCGTGGGCGGTGCGAGTGTCCATTCTGAAGGGAGGAGGGGGACAGTGCTCTCCTCACTGGGACATCACGGTCAGGGAGCCTGAGAGGCAGGGCGGCAGTGTGTGTGCTGTGGGCACGTGGGGATGCATGTGGAGACCCTGAGAGGGGAAGGGGGCTCTAGATGGGGCAGAGTAAGCAGACAGGCATCCACACTGCCGCTTCCCCTCTAGAGGAACTGCGTCCCAGGCCGGAAACAAGGGGTCGCCCACTCCTGCAACCTATTGTCCCCTCGAGGTGCACCGAGGCTCTCCAGGCAGATGTGGAGCTTAAAGCACGAGAGATACTGGGTTAGTGTCCTGGGGCTGTCACAACCAAGGACAGCAGACTGGGTGGCTTCAACAACAGAAATGCACTGTCAGTTCCAGAGGCTGGAAGGCCAAGGCCAAGGTGTGGGCAGGGTGGTTCCTTCCGAGGCTGAGGGAGGATTGTGGCCTCTCTGGAGCTCCTGGCAGGTAGCTGGGATCTTTGTCTTCTGTGGCTTGTCTATCTCTGCCTTCATCTCACACGGTGTTCTCCCGAGGGTGTGTCTGTATCCAAATTCCCCCTTTTCATAAGGACACCAGGCTTAGTGGATCAGGGTCCATATAATGACTTCAGCTTAACTAATTCCTACAACTCAATGACCCACTTTCCAAAGATGATCACACTCTCAGATATTGGGGATCAGGATTTCAGCATATGAATGGGGGGGGGGCACAATTCAACCTATAATAGAAATCTTTCCCGAATCTCTGCATCAATTAAAATATAGTTTAAGCCACTACATGTGACAAGAGGAGCTTGAGGTAACAAGTTTGATGGAGGCAGAGTTGATTTCTCTCCCATGTGTGCCCCCAGGTTCCATCCAGCCTCCAGCCTGGCCAACCCTCAAGGGGTCCCCATGGCTGACCATCACGCCCACACTCCAGCTATGGAAGACCAAAGTGTAGAGGGCACGCCTGGCTCTGTGCGTGCCTGTCCCAGGAGTTACACATGCCATCCTCTCCCCTCCAGTTGGCGAGATTATAGCTCATGGCCACACCTAGCTGCAAGGGAGGCCCAGCAACACTCACTATCACGGTGTCCCGAACATTCGCTCAGGATTTTTAAGCATCATCTCAATCCTTGAGACTTAATGAATGATTGGAAAGAAGAAAGGAAAAAAAAGAGAGGGAGGGAGGGAGAGAGGGAGGAAAAATAGACGGTGGAAGTTGTTTATATAGCCCGGAGTCCTTTTCTCAACCACATCTTATGGACGTATCACTGTGTAAAGCAGACAAAGGGCCACTGCTCTGACTGGGGCCTTGGGGAAGAGTGTTGGCAGCCTGGGCTGCTCACCCCCACTCATCCTCTGCAGGGCCCCTCAGGACGCCTGTGGGCTACAGTCTGGATGTGAGGTTTGCTGTGGGAGCCTTGGGGAGCCGTGCTGTCATTTAGAGAGAGTGATGTGTTCACTCCTTATTTTCAGAGGATGTGGCCAGCATGGCTGTGGCTGCTGGGCGCAGGGATCCTGGCCTCTGCCCATGGAGATAAGAGCCCGGGGCTGCCCCCGGCCCCCAGCGGTCAGCTCTCAGAGCCAGCTCCCGCCTACCGCCAAGTCACTCCGACCGTCAGCAGCTTTGCTTTGCGTGTGTACAAGCAGCTGGCCGCGGAAACCCCAGGAAACATCTTCTTTTCCCCAGTGAGTGTCGCCACCACCCTGGCCCTGCTCTCTCTCGGGGCCCAGGCTGACACTGCGAGGCAGATCCTGGAGGGCCTCGGCTTTAACCTCACGGAGACCCCGCCCGCCACGGTCCACCAGGGCTTCCATAGCCTCATCCGCACCCTCGACCTGCCCAGTCCCAAGCTTGAGCTGAAAGTCGGCCACTCCCTGTTCCTGGACAAGCAGCTGAAGCCTCGGCAGCACTTTCTGGATGACATCAGGGAGCTATACGGGGCCTCTGCCTTTTCCGTGAACTTCACAGATCCTGCCACAGCACAGAGGCTCATTAACGACTACGTGAGGAAGCGAACGTACGGGCAGGTGGCGGACGGCCTGCAGGAGCTCACCGAGGACACGCGCCTGGTGCTCTTGAACTACGTCTTCTTCAAGGGTGAGCACTGCCGCCTCCCCGTCCCGCC